AAAGAGTGTGTATGTTGCTAATTTTTTTTAATAACTAGCCCAATAGTCTCACCTTAAAGAACTTGAGTCAAACAGGCAGCAATATCTTTCATGGTTGTCAGAGTGGGCAAGGATTCAGGATGAAATCCTGGCCCCACTGAAGTTTTTGGGAAGACTCCTGCTGAGTTCAGTGGTGTCATGGATTGGGCCTATTTTTCTTCTGAAACAGTCCTGGGTTGGAGCATTGCTATCACATAGTCCTGCATTCCTTGTGCCATTTAAATGGTATGCTTTCCTCTTCTACTCCGTTGAGAGATTACAGCGAGCCCCAAACCAAGACTGAATTTGGCTTAAGTGTTTCACTTCCTTTAATCTGTCATATTTTACATCAGTGGAAGCAAATGGCAAAAACATGTTCAGTCCCAGACTAATGATTTTGGCATGCAGGGGCAAGCTCGGTTTGATGTGAACTATATATGCTTGGTCCAGATGCCCCCACATACAGAACTCAAGAGAGTGCCCTTTTAAGTAGTTCCCATTACAGTCAATGGCAAAACTCTCAGGGACTCCGGTGGAAGTAAACTGGCCCTGCCAATAGTTTGTCCACTTTTTATTTTATTTCATTTTAATTTTTAATTCTGAAATGCTGGGCAAGTTTTGAAATGCACCCCCAGAAATTGGGGGGTGGGGAGGAAATGTCCAAAGCAACTCTCATGAAACTTTCCATCTTGGTTTTAACCAAGTCGGGAGCTGGTTGAAATTCTTTAACTTGCCAATTTTCATTGAAGCGCTGAATGAATGAAAAATGAATAAAGAGAAGAGATTGATATGAATGTTCTTTAAAATTTCTACCAGCCCCCTCTTCCCACAACCACTGCTTCTCAGTGGGTGCGCCTACATGTTCATTAATGCGCTTTTGCAAATGCACATTAAATTTAGCATCTCGGGCGCCTATACACAAGCGTGGAGGCTGTTCTGACGTGCAGCGTGTTGGAGTAGACTCGGTTAATCAAGTCTGCTGGAGCATGGCAATCACCGCGCTCCAGCAGCCTCCTGTGTCTTGTGTATCAGTGTCCCCAGGCTTAAAAATGGCTGCAGGGGTAGTTGAACTAAAGCTTGTCAAATGAGTTTTAGTTCAAGTGCCCCTGCCACCATTTTTAAGCATGGGGATGCTGATACACAAGACACAGCAGCGCTTTAATTAGAGCAGCTTCGAGTGCAATTATAATTAAAGTCCCACCCCCACCCCCTTGCTCTACTGGAGCATGTGTAAAAGTGCCCTGCATTGTAAGCCGCATTAGCCTATTTTAATGAGCATTAGTGAAAGCACATAGTTTTTAGTGACGCTTTAATGCACATTAAAATAGTCTAATGCACATTAAGATGCACGTGTAGACACGCACAGTTACTTTTGGTCTCTAAACTGAATTCCACTGCTTAGATTTAAGTGTAGAGCTTAAACTCCTCCGGCAGTCTTCTGATTTAACATTTGCTACATTTGTCCTCCCACAGTTTGGAGGACAAATTTACAAAAGTATAAACTGCAGGCTGAAAAGCTTGCTGATCTAAAATAGAACGCAGTAGGAAACAGCAAAAATTAACCTGCACGGGCTAGATTTTGATCGCATTCACATCCCTGTGAATCCAGAGTTACTCACCAGGGCATGTGGATACTATAACCCTGGACATTGTAAAAAAGATTTTAAAATAGGCCAGTCCAGAACTGGATTTTCATGGGTTTAACTGCGATCAGAAGCTGGCCTAGCATACAGCGCTTCACAAAACGGTAGGTGCATGCTTATTTATTGGTGTTGTCGTCTAATGGAGCGAAGCGCTGTCAACAAAATGCTGTGTACTCCGCCTTGAAACACAGCCTTCCATTGCAGAAATATGATAAAATTTGAGCGTAGAGAAAGAACGGCTGCATTTCTGAAGAATTATTTTTTTTATTCATATTTTTTTTTTTTAGCATGCTTAAATAACATTAAGGAATTCCTGTATAATTTGCTGCTAGGGCATCATTTGAACTAACGGTCACAGCATTTTGTTTCTGCTAACTCCAGCGTTAAAATGTGAGTGGTTTGGGATTGTGCTTTTTTTTTATTATTATTATTACCATAATAGTATTTGTTTATGAATGGATATCTATGTAAGGCAGGTTAGTGAGCTAGCTCCTCAACAGTATTTCATTTTCTTGCTTACAGGGCTAACTTAAAAGAAAGTTTTTTCAATGCTGCAGTGACTGAAGAAGCAGTTCACTCCCATGTAACCATGAAAAGAGGGCCACAGAGCATTTTGCACCATGCATTTTATTTTTTGATTATTTTCCAAATTAGCACCATATCTCACTAAGGAACCTTGAACCACAGCCGAGATCTTCCTTTGCATGCAACTGTAGATGCATTTCATGACTAGTTTGAAACCCTTGTCAATGCATATATATATAATTTTCTTTTTTTTTGGAAAGAAAAAAAAAAAGAACTCTTTGTGTATGTGATCTGAAGCATGTAACCCTAAGATGTTGCATTCTAAAAATGACAAATAAAGGCCTTTCCCAAATATGTTGGTGTTCTGCAGACTGTTTTAATATGTTCTTTCTAATACACCATTTGGACCAAAAAAATAATAATGCTAAAAATAATAATGATAATTGTGGGATATGAACATGGCACTCACGTAGGAAGCAGCCAGGTCAAGACAGAGTGTTGCAGATTTTTGCACGCATAGCACTGAACCAAGCTTATTTTAACCTTGCAGGCAATAAAAGCGAAAATGGAGGAACTTAGGCCTTTGATACCAGTGCTGGAAGAGTACAAAGCCGATGCAAAATTGGTATTGCAGTTTAAAGAGGAGGTCCAGAATCTGACGTCAGTTCTAAACGAACTCCAGGAGGAGATTGGCGCCTATGACTACGAAGAGCTTCAGAACAGAGTGTCAAATCTTGAAGAAAGGCTCCGTGCATGCATGCAAAAATTAGGTAGGCTCAGAACAATATGGCGGCACTGGCGAAACACCAGCAATGTGTTTCTGGCATATCACACCTGGAGATAGCGCTGATAAGCTGGACATCTCCTTGTGCCTTCCCTGGCTATAACAAATGAGCTCATCCAGCAGGTTCTGACCCAGCAAACACTTACGCCATATGTCACTTTACTCCTGCAAGGCGTCCTTAATGGGACTAGTTCACGTGGCTGCATACGCCGTAAGTGCTTGCAGAATTGGACCCTGAGTCTAAATGTGAGACTCTGCAAGGTTAGCATAAATGGACAGTGAAATATGGTAAATACACAGACTATTTTAAGTCATCCAAAGCCGACACGTGCTCCATTCAGCTCATATATCAATGCCCAATCTTCCTACTCCCTGGATTTAGGACAGCCCATGGTTTCTTTGCATAACATTTTAAGTAATGTGTATGCAGGGGATGATTTTTTTTTTCCATCTAGCAACTAATGAGTTAGAAAAAAATCTTTCCTGGCCACGATTGGCTTGTGTTTCTGTATGGGTTACAACTGCTATATATAAAATGAAAAACAACTCCTCACTTCCTTTTAGCGAAAGAGTAGAAGCCCTTCCATTAGGCCAAGTAACTAGAAGGGAGAAACCTTAAGAGACCAGGTCAGTACAGCTGGCATTCATTGACCAACCCCCTACAGAAATCAGTGGCTCTTTTCTACAGCATTACTGTAAAAGAGATGAGAGTCTGGCCCAGGGTTAAGGGTAATCATGTAGGTACAAGGGGTTTCTGAATCCTCTTTCTTGTTGCAAGAATTTTTCCCCCACGTTTGTTGACCAAGCTGTATCCTGATTTAATTTCCACTTACATTATTGACTATCTTGTTAAGCAATTTAAATAACCTAAACACATTAACTGCTCTGCAGTCTGTTTCGGTAGCACATATGAAATTATGCTCTCAGGTAACTTCGAGAAGGATCAGATCTCTTCTCATCGCTGTATTATCTGTGCCAAGGTAACATTTTGTTTCTCTGTTGTCTCTGACCGTGGGGTGCTTTCTGCTTGTTTTCAGGGGGGTTTCACCTTTTTTATGGAAGCTTTCCTCCCCACGTAGACATTGATTATCATAACTGGTTGAGCCTTTTCTTCGTTACCCTTCAGTCCACCTATGCATTAAAAGCCCAGGGGGGAACAATGGCTCAAGAAGTACCCTGGTGACTTAAAAGCATGTCTCCTAGAGGCTCTCAGTGGGGGTGCTAGGTGCCCAAATACTTATGTCCTTCTTGATAACAGGTGTTCAAATCACTTTTTCTGAAATTGTTAGAGAAATTGGTGGAGAGGAAACGTTGAGTTTAGAAGGGGCATTGACCAAATCCTCAGCTGGTGCATAGTGGCTGGGGCTGTAGGTTGGAGCTAGGCTAAGTTGCATCAGTTCAGTGTTGACCCCTGATTTTAAAACCAGTGGTACCCTGAAAGCTGAATCTGCTCCTAAAATACTGGCAAACACTTTTCAACCTAAATGTTTTATGTATGAAAAAAAAATACAGTTGCTTTACTGTTTGCCTTATGGTGATGTCTGAAGGTCTTGACTGAGGTTGGGGCTGTATATGTACACGGCAAGGAACGGCACTTGCCCCCAGGATCTTACCAAAGCTTGGATGGATAAAAGATATGAGGAAGGAAGTGTAGGTTGTATCCGTCACCCAAAGAACCTTGTCTGAGGAAGGAAGTGGCGTTGTCCCTGTTTTGTAGGTGGGTGCAGACAGGTTGATTGGGCCAAGGTCACCGGGGGAGTCGGTGGCAGAACCAGGAACTGAGCCCCCGTCTCCAGAGGTCTAGTCTACTGCTTTAGGCACAAGGCCGTGCTTTTCTGGAGATGAAGCAATCTTTACTTCTCACCCTTTGAAGGAAGAGATGAGGTGTCACCCGAGGAAACAATACATAGAAGTGATCTATTTTTCTTCCCGCAGTAGAAAGCCTCTCTCCAGACCTAATACCTTTGGCTGCCTCTCCTGTATTCATCCTGTCTCATGAGGAATAAGAGCCCTTTTTCTCTCCCCCTCCTACTGCCAGCTCTTTCCTGACCTTTCATCCCTTTAGCTGTAGGAACCAAAGAGAGGGCATCTTCGTTTTCTTTCTGCTGTAGTATTTTTTCCTATCGCAGCTGTTTCTGCAAGTGAACCGATCTTGTGCTGCCAGTATTCAAACTCGAAGCTAGTGTAAAAATGCCCCACTTCCCAGCAGGTGGTAAATTTTCCATATGCTAGAGATGGGGTGACTGTAAAAAGATTAACGGAAAGACTGGAAACATCTCATTTAAGCCATGCAAGTAACTGGTAAAAAATAATGCTTTGATCAAAATTGCTCTCTTTTTCCATTGGTGATAACAGACCGTGATGCCCCCAGACGTACTCATGACCTCAATGGATGTATTGTTCATGTTGTGTTTTAGTACCTAGCGTGACTGAGTCTCGTTCCCTTTGTGGACCGATCGTCAATATTCGAGCTAGGAATGTGGTTGTCTAGTTGTGGTTGGCCCGAACGGCCACGTGATATTGTTTGTCTTCCCAGATGGGATGAACAAATGTAAACTCTTCTTGGCAAGGAGGCTTGCAAATACGATTTTGCAAGAAACACCCACATGCAGCTTTGTTATTCACTTTCTGTTAAGGTCAAAACGGTCATTCTTGGGTACAAAACATTAGGTCATTACTGTGTATTATGCAGGTACCAAAGCATGAGTGGCCTACGTTGCAAAAGTGCATAGGCCAGGTGACTCAGTGGGAGATGCAAGTGTTAGGACCTTATACAAAGCCATTAATGTTCATTGTTCAGCTGTCTGATATGGTTGGAGGAACCTGATTTTTAAATAGGCTCATCAACTGGTGTAGATTAGCAGGGCCCTGTTGGCTTCAGAGGCACTGTGCCTATATCCACCCCCTGAGAAGCTGGCAGTCGCCAGACCGTTTGCGGGAGGAGGGTGCGACCATGGGTGAGATGATTCCCCTCTCTAGCCCCCATCCCCAGGAAAGCAACAGTAATAGCTGGCAAAGAAACATTTGTGAAGCCTCTTATCATAAGTAGGTCCTTATTTTTCCTGAAAGCCTCAGCCGAGTCTATTGAGGCTGCAGCAGCACATTCAAGCCATCCTCTGTGAAGCAATGGGTCACAGGGGACGACTTTGAAGAAGGCTGTGGAAAAGCCATTTTTGAACATGCTTCTTCAGCACTATAAAGCTCTGGAGATAAATCATCTCCGACAGGGATGACGTAGCATGGACCAAAGCAAGGAGGCTGGATCCTCAGCTTCACTGACTTCACCAGAGCCGGGGGGGACTGACACCGGGACCCCAAGGTGACTCCGTGAGATGCAGGGGGACTAAGTGACTTTCTATGCAACGTGAAGGAAGAACCAGGAAGCTCCAGAGCCATCGAGCATCTTCCAGAGCTAGGGCTCCCCAAGGGTGAGGGACTGAGTTTGGGGGAAAAGATAACATTTGCTCACACTGACTACCTATTGCACCTTCCATTGCACTAAATCAGGGACTGCAATGTAGTCTGGCCCTTAGGAATTAGCAGGCCATGCTGCTTATTAGGACTATACAGTTGGGCTAAGAAAGCATCTGTTTGAGTAGAGTCCCCCTCCCTGTCCATAGTCCCTGCCCCACTGTGTCACATCAGTTGTATGCCATCATTACTCCACTGATTTCATGTGCCATCTCCAAGCTGGTTATGTCTCAGCAGTGGCTGAAGTGATGCCTGAATGTACACTTTAATTTAGAAATATTTTGGCAATCTGTGACAGGCTAGATCATCCAGGCAAGGGTTAAGGGCTGTCTCATGACTCAGCTGGGCATTTAAGGGAAAGGTGTGGCTTTTGGGGAGGTGAGCTGAAGAGAAGGGGTTGAGAAGATGGGGTGGGAGAGGATGGGTTGGGGAATGTATTTTTAGGGCTGGTGAGGGGGATTGCGTTATTTGTGGTGGTATTCCTGAGCTTTTTGCTTGAGCCATCTACAGCCTCAAAGCCTGTTGCAGATTTTGGTATGGCATTGATGGCTTTCTAGGCTGGCAAGAAAACCTACCAGTTCATAGGATCCTTTGGGATGAAAAAATCTTGTAAAAGCAGGGCAAGCTAAATCACACAGACAGCTCTGTGCAAAGAGTCCTTGGTGTCTTAGATGGGTTTGCTTTGGCCCATATTCACTCCCTTGCGTGTTGGTGGTGAACTTCATTGCAGCTGAGTTGCACTGGCTCAGGGGTTTGTAGGGAAGGGAATTTCACAGCTGAATAAGCAAGCAGGGTAGAAAAAGACTTTAAAATGGGTGCATGCAGGCATTTGCCCCAGAAATGCTCCCTTGTGGCCCACCTGCAGTTAGGTCTCATGGATCAAGTTTCTAACACTCCTCCTGGCTGCAGAGAGTGTGAAAATAGAGATTGTGATGGATTAGGTTCAGGTAACACATTCACAGGTACTCCATCAGCACAAAATGAGGCCAGATTTACTGAATGAGTTGCTAGGAGTTATTTGCTCAGCTCTACAAATGCTACTTAGCTGCATCTGAACCCTAGGGGAGGATCATAGCTATCCCTTTTTGGGAAGGGGAGGTACAAATAAAGCCCTCTGTTAAAGAGCTTGCAACCTGGATGGTAGCTGCAGCACAGCTTTATTAAGACTCTACCAAACACCTGATCTCTGCTGACTGCCAGCTTGAACGCACTAGATAGAGACATCTGACTTTGATTCACAAAACCCCTCCTATTTCCTGCTTAACACCATTTTCTTCTTCCATACTGCCCTGAAGCACCGCCATGCAGCAAAGCCTTTTGCTTTAGACAAGGTTTCTTTCCCTCCCTACTTTTTGGTTTCCTAAGCTTTACTGAAGGATCAATGCTGAGAACATTTCCTGACCCCAGTATAATATATACATAATATGTATATGTATAAAAACAAATCACAAATCAATAGTGGCAGGTTCAATTCTTTGTTCTGTTTACATTTTTAAAGATCACAATTTATATGGG